CTTGTCAAATGCAACAACTATCCCGCGATTCTCCTGTGATTCGTGAATCAAATTTTCCCACGAAGCACTTTCCCTGTTCGTACCAGTACCTCGGCCAATTGCTGTTTCTGTGAGCCACGAATCCCTTCGCACCTATTCGAGGAATACCTCCACGAAACTCCTGTTCACGAAATAATCGTGTCTACTCGCCTCCTGCACTCTGCCGAACTCCACCTGTCGCAAAATCTCCTGCGACGAACCGACAAATTTAACTGGTCGAATTCCTCAGATTTTCCGCAAAACAGCCTCTGTTTCCCACGGATTGTTGAACCTGCCGAACTCCTCTGTTTCCTGAAACTGCACGACGGTTCACTAAACTGAACCTCGCACCTCTTCGCACTTCTCCCTTCGCGAACCAAAACCCACGAACTCCACTTTGGCCGCAGAACTAGAACTCCTCTTCTTTATGAAATTGGTGAACCCTTACAACCCTCAGAGCTCCTTCCAGAAATTAATCCTCCAGCCAATGAATAAACCAAAAGAAATATCCAAATGAATATTCCCTTTAATCCTTTTGCTTCTAGAATGCTGATCGTTCACCGCAGAAATTCAGAGGAAATCTTTTCCCGTCTCCAGCCAGAGGGAATTACGGAGGAATATTCATTTCCCTTCCTCCCTTTCGGTCCGCACTTTAACTGTTGGAAACTGCACGCCCTCGCCCAGCACCACGATTCCAACTGTCGCGAACCCGCGTAACACTTCAGCAATTTCCGACTGCGAATCCCTCGCGAAGAACCTTCGCGCCTTCGCCTGTTCCGCTAGCTAATCGCGAAGAACCTCCTTCTTCCGCGGTTCGCAAGCACCGAAGACCCTCTGCGAAACTTCCTGTCGCGATCCGCTCCGCCTGTTCGGCGATCCGCTCTGCCTCGTTCGCCCGTCCCGAACTCGTCCGAGGATCGCCCGCGAACTGTTCCGCCTGTTCTGCGACTACCGATCGCAGAAAACTCGCGCGATTCGCTGAAACCGCAGAACTTCAGACTCCTCCGCTGAAACCAAGAGACGAACGAACTGCCGAGTCGAACTTCGCCTGATGGTCGAAGAAGACGAAACCCACTGTCGCCTGCGCCCGTTTCTGCTTTGCACGATTCGCTGAATTTGCAAACCGCCGAACTCTTCTTATCAAATCTTCTTCCTGCGTCGATCTCCTCCTGTTCTCCTCGGAACCTGGCTCTGATACCAATTGTTGTGAAATTTAACGTGGAATAAAACAGGAATCGACACAAACTAGAAGAAGAACACAGAGATTTAACGAGGTTCGACAAAGAATTGCCTACGTCCTCGGGAGCGAGCGGCGGTTTCAATATTTCAGAGAGGTTCAAAATACATCCCATAGGGTTTCACATATAAATAGACATATACAAACCCTTAGATAAAATTACAATCACGCCCTCGCTCCTCCCAACCCCCTTTATTCCAAGAGACACTCCTTTTCACCAGGAGACACACCTCTTCAAAAGAAACTCCAACTCCCTAGATATGAGCCATATCTAACAATTCTTACATTTTTAGTTGGCACTTGCCTAATCAGGCTTTATACGATGCAATCTGTCAACTTAAGCTTTTAGTTCAAGTATTAGCCAGTCATTAAATCCTAATAGGCTAAATCTAGAACATGTTAGTTATGTTTGGCACACCCACTCTAAAGCAAACTGATCACTTAGCTAAGGCAGGCAAGAAGAAGTCGGCCATTTTTTTTGCTGAAAGTACGAAAATTGAATTGAGCTTACAAGATTCCAGCTCCAATAACATCATGACCACCAAAAATAGGCTTAATATGGTAATGCTAAAAGTTGAAAAAAGACCCAAGTGTAAGCATTTGAACTTATGTGGCTACTAACTTCAGCTAATTATGCAAAGCAAACATGGCCAAAGGAACAAATGCACAGTTATATCAAATAATAAATATATTGCACAGGATTAGAAACTCACGTGCAAGTCCAACGCCAGATATGGTAAGATTATTTCCTAGCACAATAAAGTTATTATAAACTCTATCATGAGCTGAAGCACCGACACTGAATATCCACGGACTAAAGGACGACATGCTCTTTGGTGAAGGACCAGTATTTCCTGCCGCTTGCACAACAAATATTCCAGATTTTACGGCTGAAAGTAAAGCCATATCTAAAGGATTGAAAAAAGTGGCTATGCCAGGAGGACGCCTATTAGGAGTGATTGATAAACTTATGATGTCAACGCCATCTTGAGCTGCCTGTCACTTGGTTTGCCAATTAATAAATGAAATTCGTGGCCCATTGAAGAGCATAAAATAAATACAAAATAAAAAGTGATAATAATGAAAGAATACGGATTTGTTTTGCAGTTTTAAGGACAAAGCTATGACAAAAGACAATAATTCATTATCATTCACATGGAAAAAAGTCATTAAAACAAAGTTGGTTGTGATTGATATTCAAGATAATAGGCTGTTAAAATTAGCAAGTGCTTTAGCAATTAAAATAGGGAAATGCACAGGAATGTATCAGACTCCTAGTACAAACTTCTAAAAATGTGCATTTTACTAGAATTAAAAATGGAAGGGCATTGCACAACTTTTAGTTTTGTACACAAATTCTACGGGTGCGTAAGTTTTGGTTTTATAAACAAACGTGATGTAAAACCCCATTTTTTTTAAATTAGTTAAGTGACGTTTAAACAACAAATTGCAGTTGAATAAAAAGAAATTGTTTTGACTCAAATTTGGTTAGCCACAACTTTACAATTAAGAATAAGCTTGTGTAGAAAAAAATAAAGAGACAATCACGATCATATGTACAAAAAACTAAGACTAAAGAGCATATAAAAGATTTTTACGTGGTTCGACCCAAAAACAAACCCGAGGGCCTAAAGCACATCTAGCCATACTAAAATTAAAAATCTCTTTCCACGTGGCAGAAGCATACTCTCCTTCGGCATTAGTGCAACCCAACGAATTCTCCGATATTGGCCAACACAAACACATGTACTAATCTTATAAATTAAGAAGTTCAAATTAACGTTGATTTTATGCCAAAGTAAAAATAACCTTGAAAAAAATATCTTTTCAATTTTTAAATTACACTAACAAAAAATAAGTTCAAACAACACTAGTAAACTCAAGATCTAAGTTTAGATCACAAAATAATTAATTTTAATTTTAAAATAATATGAAATAGTAAAATGAAATTAAGATAATAGACAACAAAATAATATAAAGATGTAAAATATAGTCGAATGCGATTTCAAAACAACTCAATAAAAATTTGATTTAAAATGACACGATATAATTTTTTTATTTAAATAATCATTAAATTTTAAATAAAAAACAAATAAGATATTTAAACGACATAATATAAATACTGATTTAAACAATCATGAAATCTTGAATAAAAAGGAATAAAATATATCAGCACAATAAAAAATTATGATATTAAACTTAAACCAACATTAAATAAGATTTTTTAACCAACGCAATATAATATATTGATTCAAGCTAACATGAAAACATAACCCAAAGTGACATGAAATTTATAATATAATTTTAATTTAAAATATCATTAAAGAACTTAGATCAAAGTAGATTTGTAACAAGAAAAAATATCAATCAAGGAAAATTGACATGCTTATAAACTTTAAAAGAATTGAACCAAAACACTTTCTCTCCACCAAAGTGCTTCAAGATATTGCAACAAGGCTTCAACCACAAGGAACTAGAGAATTTTTCAAAAAGAAAAAAAATATTTTTTTGATTTTTTTTTTCCTTTTTTTTTATTTTTGAAAGACAAAGAACCTTCAAGGGACCCAGTTTTTTTAAAGATTTTGCAAGATGAGGCGGTTCCAAATTAGATGATTAGCAGGCAAAAAAGGCATAGAATAAATCTCAAAATTTCTGCCAAGTGAGGTATAATAGATGATTTAATTCTTTTCAAACTTGTAGTGGAACTTTAAAAAAAATTAATAAAGAGAAAAAAAATTCGATTAAAAATAAATTTGAATTTGAATAAAAATTAGGATAGAGATTTTTTAGGCATGATTTGAGGAGCTGTTTAATTTTAAAAACTAGCAAACTCTATTACAAAAATCTGCCAAGCCAAATTTAAAAAGAAAATTCTTGCATGAATTAATTCAATGGGATATAGTTTAATTAATGTGGAAATAAATCTATATAAAATGATCAAATATATTAGAACAAAGTAGGGATTGTAGGCTGATTTGAATCTAAATTTATTAAAAAAAAATACAGCAGCTAATAACCCTTGAAATTCAGCCAAAGCAGATTTTCAAAAGTTTTGATGCAATTTTATCAAGTTCCATGTGATATTTAATTAATGCATATAAATATATACATATACGTATATAAAAAGCATCATGACATTTAAAACATGTATTAGAAAGAAATTATACTTACTGTTAATAAACTTGAGAACAAATAAATAAGAATGATGAATTATCCAAACACATAAGAAAATAATAAATTTATCATAAAAATAAATAATAGACATACATAACTAATAAAAATTTATCACAATTTTGTATGAAATTTTACTGTGATAAAAAAGCATTTAGAGAAATTTATTTAAATTAATTTTTAAGATAAAAAAATCACATTATCTAAAAAAAGAAGCATATGAAAGACTAAGGGTGCGTTTGGAAGGGCGTTATTGCTGCGGTGGAGTTTTGAAAACGCTACCTCGCGTTTGGAAAACACTTGCCAGATTTGTTTTACAAAATGGAGTTTTTGATTTATTATAAAACGCGGATCGCAGGGTCCTTTCATCGTTCAGAAAGACTCACTGCCACTGGTCTCGTCGCTCCTCTGCCCTAATTTCGCAAGCAGGTCTCGTGCCCCTCGTCGCTCCTCTCCCCGCAAGCAGCTCTCGTTCATATCTCCCCTTCGTAGAACCCTAATAGAAGTCCCTGAAGGTATGTTCGTATCCATCGTATCTCCTTTCGTTTCTTTATCAATGTCCGCGGTTATCTTCTCATAATGCTAATCGAGTCCTAATTTCCTTCATCTTCCTCAGTTATTTCTTTGTCCTGATTTATATATTATGTCATTCTGCACTTCTTCGCGAATGGATCTGGTTTCCTTCATCTTCATCGTCGAAGTAGCACGATGGTTTGGATTTTTTTTTTGTATCAAGCAAACTATTATTGATGGATCTGATGTTATTGGTTAAGGATCTGATATTATTTATGGTTATGGATCTGATGTTTGGTACTTGTATTGTGTAATACTTATGCTTCTTTGCACTGATACTATTATGTGGAGGTGTTGTGGACTTCCTGCAATGATATTCTTTGATCATTATTAGGTATGGAAGGAAAATATTGGGTGAAAATTGGAAGCATTGTTTTTAGAAGCTATACTAGAGTAATTTACAAAGCTGGAGGCTGAATGCATATTATTTACAAAGCAGTCAGAAAGCTACTTGAAACAAAACCTCATCAAGACTGCTGATAGAAAAATTGTTATCATCAAGAATAAAGATAAAAAAATGGATATGTTAATACATAACAACTGTGCATCCATTGCCTGAAAGAGACTATCCCCCAGCCATCTATAACACGTGTGGTATGTATGTAAATTTTTTTAAAAAAACTATTGTCTAAAGAAAGGATCACAACCATCTATGATGCAGTTGTCAAACATCAAATCTCTCGTATGTAATATATACATAATAATTGTATAGCATATATGTAAATTTTTCTAAATTTTGATGGATGACACTCCATCCATTGCTTGAAGAGAGGTTCTCATAGCCATGCTTGTAATAGCTTAACATCAAACATCAAAACTCTCTCATTCACATCATTAATAGCTATATCAGTTTTGAAAATATTTGTACTTCATTTTGAGGTTTCTTGAGATGCAGTTGAATAGCTTCAAACGCAATATTAGTTTTGTGGCCAAATTTAACATGTAATGCGAGGAATATATATGGATATTTCGTTTGGACTATTTTCTGAGTCGGTATTGGGCTATTTCCAAATCAAATATTGTTAGAATTCTTTCAAATTATTTATTTTTGAAAATATTTGTACTTCATTTTGAAAAACATACATGACATGAATTTCTATTTTATCTAAGGTTATGTTTTTTCTTCAACTGTTGTTTTATTATACTATCAATATGAGTGCATTATTTGATCCATATTTTTTAGTAGTCTCATTATGTCTAAAAACAAAGAAGAAGCTACATCAGCAATGTGGGACAAGAAAGTTGCCAATATTCTTTGCAATCTTTGTATTAAAGAGATTGAACTTGTAAAAAAACCGACAACCTACTTTAACAAAGAAGGGTGGCAGAATATTTCCATTAAGTTTAAAGAATTGACAGGACGAGCTTACGATAGATTGAAATTCAAGAACAAGCGGGATCAACTAAAGAAAGATTGGAAGCTATGGAAAGAACTTAAATGGAAATCGACGGGATTGGGTTGGGATCTTGTCAAGCATACCGTAGACGCTTCAGGGGAATTGTGGACTGAAAAATTAGAGGTAATAATTGTACTCCTGCGAACTCTTTAGCTAATTTACATTTATACTTATATTTCACCTAATATGCTCCCATCCCCTCCCTTCTTGTTGCAAGCAGTACCTAATGCAAAGAAATTTAAGTTATCCGGAATTAAGCAGGGCTTGGAAGATAAATTGGATGTTATGTTCAAGGAGGTTGTTGTTACGGGTCAGCATACGTTCAACCCAAGCGAGCAGGGTTTTGTTAGCATCTCAGCTGAGGTGATCCCCGATCAGTTTAGCGGTTCAGATGAACGCCCTAGCATAAACCCTAGAGAGCTTGAGTCAACTGGCCAATCAAAGAGGCGTAAGATGAAAAAAAAAAGAAAAAATAAAGATGTTTTCGTGCAGAGCTCAATTGATAGACCGATAACTGTGTTTGAAGCTCCGATATCAATTTAACCTATGGTGGATGATCCCACCGTTGATGGTTTTATAAGTTTTTTAAAGATATTCCAAAAGTTTTTGTTGATCCGATATTCTACTTAAAATGTGTTAGGGTTCTCGAGGACCCAACCCGCAGACAGATTTTTAAGAGGCTCCGCCCCGAGCTGCGTCTTGATTATTTGCGTCTCTCAATTGATAAATGAATCTTTCATATCTCATGTCTATTATATTTGTTTATTGTAATTGATATTTTTCTTTAGGTTTTAGGTGAAGTCTTTGATATGCACAATATTTTTATTTCTATTTTGTAGTATATTTTTAGGAAAAAGTTTATTTTTGGATATTTGTTTGGTTTTTTTGTATTTCCTTTAAGAAATTGTTTATGCATAATACAACATTCATACAGGATGGATCAGCGGCGGCAAGTGTTATACTGAGAACGCAGGCAGATTTTTAAGAGGCTCCGCCCCGAGCTGCGTCTTGATTATTTGCGTCTCTCAATTGATAATGAATCTTTCATATCTCATGTCTATTATATTTGTTTATTGTAATTGATATTTTTCTTTAGGTTTTAGGTGAAGTCTTTGATATGCACAATATTTTTATTTCTATTTTGTAGTATATTTTTAAAAAAAAGTTTATTTTTGGATATTTGTTTGGTTTTTTTGTATTTCCTTTAAGAAATTGTTTATGCATAATACAACATTCATACATGATGGATCAGCGGCGGCAAGTGTTAAACCGAGAACGTCGTAAAAGAATGGCTGCGGCAATTCTTATATTGTTATTAGAGTACTACTGCTTAAACAGAGTACGAACATCGCGAATGACCTCGTTATTTATTGGGAATAAATGGGTGGGCGAGATGCTTGTTGGACATCCCATAAGATTCAGCAACATATTTCGCATGACCGTACCCATTTTTTTGGATCTTCTGAACAAACTACGAATGAATCGCGGTCTTGTAGGTTCGGCTAGAACTACTACAAGAGAGGTTTTGTCAATTACGTTTTTTATTTTATCTCAAAATAAATCAATCAAATGAGCCATGGAGCGATTTCGGCATTCATCAGAGACAATAAGTCGATACTTCTCTATTGGTATAAGAGCACTAATTAGCCTAGCTTCACACATAATTAAGGCGGAAGATCCAACTTTCAGTAGAACTCCCACCAAAATTGTCAATGACACGCACTACATGCCATTTTTCAATGTTAGTCTATTCAATTCGTTCTTTTCATTTCATAATATAGTTTATATGATATCGTTGAGATCACTAACAAATCAATACAGAACTGTCTTGGGGCAATTGACGGTACACACGTCGATGCCTGACTCCCTAGCAATGAAAAGGTCGCATACATTGGACGGTGTGGTTCACCTACACAAAATGTAATAGTTGTATGTGACTTCAACATGTGTTTCACATTTGTGATGACCGGATGGGAAAGAAGTGCAAATGAATGTCGTCTTTTTAGCTTTGCGACAAATAACAGCCGACAACGCTTCCCACACCCGCCTCAAGGTATGTTAAATTTGATTAATTTATTGGATTTTTTTCTTCAAGGGTCACTATTAGTGTAATTCGTGGCAGACAAATATTATTTGGTGGATGTCGGATATCCTTTACATAAAGGGTATTTAAAATCATCTACAGACACGAAGTATACATTCCTGATTTCGAGAAGTCAAGTGGTGTCGCACGTGGTAGGAAAGTGATGTTTAACAAACGTCACTCTTGAGGAGAGCTAAGAGAAACTTTGTGGGCATCGAAAATTCACAATCGCTCTCTGAGACAACTCTCTCTATTTATTTTTATTTTGAGAAAGAGAGCTTTGGAGGGTTGAATTTTCAGAAGGCATATTGGATTGTAAATAAGACACTGTCCAGAGATTTCGACCTCATTTTGTGAGTTTTTATCTGAGTTTCGATGTTTCGTATAGGCGCAAGCCTCTATTGTTAATTGCCCCACCCTAAAACGGGAGAGCACATTTGATTAAGGCTAGTCATTAAAAATTAAAAATTAAACATACAATAGCAGCAGACACAAGATTTAAGTAATAGAATTCATCACTTGAAGCTTAAAGCAGATGGTAATGAAGACGAAACCTGATCAAGATCACATAGTTCCGTCATCCCGGCTCATCATGAGTCTTGATCTACTTAGTTAGAGGGGGTAGTTGACCCAACCTGACAGAAAGATTCTTGTCAGCAGCCATGGGTTGCGTCATCCATGATATCCTCATAGATCTGAGGCGGATGTTTGTCTAAGGGGATAAATTTACGTCAACCTTAGCTAACAGAAGACTTTTTGTCAATCAATTGTACCCTTATAATTCGCATATCAAAGAGTAAAAAACTATTAGGGAACATATGGGCAGCAGCCGTGACCATAATATAATGGTGTCATTTCGCAATAATCACTCGATCAAAGGGCTCTGGTTGTAATCGTCATTTTGTGGTATCATTTGGTGGCAAAACCACGTGAACAGAGCTAAATTCAATCAAATATTATTTATAATTAACAATCTGTTGCAAATGGTGGATGAGATTTGCTTTAAGCCTTTTAAGTGATTTACTCTTAGCTTAGATATTTTAATTGATTATTTTAAAATTCTTGATTTAACAGATTGATCTCTCCAGTTGAAATTTTCAATCAACGCAGTTATAATTGTGGTGTTGAACATTTAAAGCTTTTGTATTTGAAGTGGGAACATTTAGTGTTGTTAGTTTAAAATTTTCAATGTATAAGTCATGTCAACTCTTGTCCTTATAGGTAAGAGAATTGGACTAGGTGATTTGGACTTATAAATTCATATTTTAGGATTAACATTTATTTTAAAACAACTAGACTCGTCAACTTTGAAAATTTATATTTTTAAAAGCCCAAAATTTTAAAAAATTTATAGCCTTAAGAGTCTAAATATTTAAAACTCCAAATTTTAAAATAATTTTAAGTTTAAAGAGTCTATATTTCAAAAGTCTAAGACTTTAAATATCTTTTTTAAAATCCTAAGAGCCTACATTTCAAAAGCTCAAATTTTTAATTTTTTTTTAAATTTCAAATGATTCACATTTTATTTTTATTTTGAAGGCCAAATAAAACTTCAAAAATTTCTTATGTACAAATCCAAAATTCACCCAAAAATTCGGCAATCACCCGACGTCAACCCCCGTTTGGGGGCACCAAAGGATGTCAACCTTCTTAGCTCTCTTAAGAGACGAGCTGGTCAATATCGTGAGATACTACGGCCGAGGAGCAAAAAATATAAACTTAACACGTGATCTTAAAAGACGCAACGAAGCTTCAATGTACCTGCACAAAAAGGTTAGCTAGCAAACTAACATTTTCCGAATAGCACTTTATTTTCCCTGAATAGTACTCAATTTCACATTGACGGGTACTCACTTTCCCACGAGCGGGTATTTTAAAATCCCCATTTTTTAAAACAATTTTTCAAAAGGTTCCACATTATTCCCCTAACGGTACTTAATTTCCCCATGAATGCGTACTCGCGCTTCCTCGAGTGGATACTTTAAAAAAATTTCCCATTTTTCGCCCCAAAATTATACCTTTCGAGCCAAATGGCGACGAACACAACACAATAATAAGAAATTACAATACAACACAAATCTTCTCTTTTTTTATACAATTTATAACAACAAATAAAATGCATAGTAACATAAAATAAAATGAACAGCAGAATAACATAACAAAAAAGGAATTGCACTTCGTTTCGACTGCAGATTTTGGGTTAGACTAAGGATTAAAGAGTCAAACTTGGTTTAATAAAACCAAGACTTAAATTTCTATGGAATAGTTAAAGCGTAAGATTGCACGTGAGGGAGGAGCGGCTAGAGTTTTAGGGCAAGGAAGGCTTGGATGCAAAGAGAAGGAAGATCGGCGAGGGGCTAGGGTAGGAAGGAGATCGCAGGGCTCTCGAGCGTCTTGGAAGAATCCGGCAAGGAGAACGGGAAATAGTGAGGAGATGCGGCAGGGAAGATTGCAGCAAAGAAACAATCTCGAAAGATAGCGACAGAAGATTTTTGGTTGTGCGGCTTTGACAAGTGCTTCAGTGTAAGGAGAGGAATCGCGATAGTGAGGTGCGGTGAGTCGCAACACGGGGAAATCAACTCGATTATGTGATGATGGGGAGGAGAAGGCTCGGGTGAGAGCAGAGAGAGTCGTTGATGAAGGGGAAAAGGAGTTGTTCTTTGTGTGAGTTATTGGAGAGGCGTAGCAACTAAGGATTGCGTCTTCGGGGAAGCGCGACAAAGTAATTTGGACGCGGGGCTTTGTAGGGAAGAAGCATGACAAAGAAGTACAGGTAAGTGGCTTGCGTTTTTGTTGTGTAGGTTTTATACGTTGAAGAATTAAGTGAACAGAAGAAAAGAACAAGAGGAACAAAGTGCCTCTACGACTTGTTGCGACATAAAACGAACGAAGAAGATTCTTCTTGTGTAAATAGAGAAAAAAACAGCAAAAAAGAATAAGAAGATAAAGAAGTAAGTAACTTTCGTTTTTTTTTTTTTTTTTTTTTTGTGGAGACAAGGGTTTCGAACAAGAAAGGAAAACGAGGCTTTGGAATGGCAAGGGAAGAATGAGAGAGTGTATCTTGCGAAATGAAAGGTCCTGAGCAGTTCCGCGAGCTGTTGATAGGATGAGAGCAGGAGGAGTCTGTTAATATTAATTAAATTTAGTTAAATCTAATTAATATTAATAATTATTTTTTATATTAATTATTTTTACTATATATATATATATATATTAACGTCAACAGACTCTGTTGCTTGGACTTCAAGACCTCTCTCTGGAGATTCTGCTTTTTTTCTTAAAGGATCACTTTAGAGCACTATTTTTCTCTTTTGGCTTATGCTTTTGACCCTCTCTTTTCTTATTTGGAAAGTCAACTTTATGTTGTATCTTCTAACTCTGAGATAATATATTTTACTTCACCTTTCTTCAAATCTCTTCACATCTCTCTCTCCTTCGGTGCTAGTAAGATTTAGGCATAATTCACAGATAAATCTAGATTTTACAGTACTTTTTTTCTGAAATACAAGTTTAGCCTTTCAATATCACAACAGAAATTTATATTTCACTTGACCGATTCATGAATAAGAAGTACAGCCAAATCAACATATGCAATAATGCCATCCCAACCGTTATATTTCCCAGAAAACAAAATTGATAAGAAATATCCTCATAAAATTGAGAACAAAAATAAAAGGTTCCATCAGCTGGAAAGTCCATGCTTGGGTAACTGCTTACCTGGTCTATGGCAGCAACAACATCGGCAGCAAAGCCTCCAAAATTTTTATACAAGGCCTTATAAACAGCAACACTGAAGAGAGTAAAAGAGATGGAGCAATAGAGAGGGAGAAAAGAGGTCATAAAAAACTTATAGACAGAAGCAAATGAAAATAGAGTTCTAACTAAATAAAATGAAGATTTACTGGGCATGAGGAGCCATTCCACTAGCATTTCCAAAGTGATGCCCTGACACGATCACAGGAACCCCATGGTTACCAGCGGCTATGGAGGCTGTATGCCTATATAGATAAAATCAGATATTATTTCATCAAGTAAAGACCTCCACAGAAATGAAATCGAAATCAGTCAAACAAATCTAAGATGTCAATCCCTTCCACATCTTTAAGGTTATAATGAACAGTTATAAACATACAATTCAAAATTGCATTTTTTTCTTAAACTATTACATGCAAAACTAAATCTCATAATGATTGATCAATTTTGAGATACAGAATGTTCAGCTGACATAGGAAACAAAAAACTTACGTTCCATGGCCATCCCCATCAAAGGGCGAAGCATGATCCCGAGAAGAATTGAAAATTCCCCTAGTTATGGCGGATGCTGCAAAGTGGCGAGCTCCAACAAGTTTTCTATTGCAGGAACCGGATGGAAAATCAATCATAACTTCACAAACTCCAGAAAAGTGGGCAGGAACGGGATAAACAGTGTCTGAGAGAATATCAGAAAAGCTAGGGTGTGTTGGATCAATTCCAGTGTCAATAAAACCAATGACAACTCCTTTTCCAGCAAATTCTGGTCCTCCTTCTTGCACCCACGGCCCTTTGGGCAAACCCAAAAATTCAGGGGTGTATGTGGTTGCGGTCCTGACAGAGAAATCCAATTCAACATTCGCTACCTCTCTTCTCTTAGAAAGCTTGTCTGCCTTTGGAATCCAAAATATATATATATATATATTATCAGAATAAAAAGATCCAGTCAACCATATCATTAACGCTAGACACAGATTTAGAAGTGTTTTCCTCCAACATTATATGGTGCCATAAGTTATAAGAATTAAACTTATAGACAATAGCCCTATATCCTCAAACTAGAAACAGCAGAAACAAATTGGATCTAAAACATATGCAACAGCACCTAGCAGGGAGATATATATGGCAAACAACTTTAGGAATCTCATTAATAAAAGGAAGAAAACTTTCAAATAGTGCACCATGATAATCAAAGTCACCTGATGCTAGAAATTACCATGCAGGTTTCAATAACAATTCCTCAACTCAACAGAAGTCATGAACATTTAGCTTCAATAGCATGACTGTAAAATTTTGCAATAAAATTTTGATGCATGGCAAGAGGGTGCAACAATAGTTGGAAAATTATGACATATAGATGAAATTATAATTAGTGAAAATAAAGAGCTATAACTGAAGAATGTAGAACCCATGTCCAAATAGCTAGACAATGTTAAAATACTTGAGAAAATCATAAAATACCTGCTGAGGAGTGATTAGAACAGCAAAGCCATTGATCAAGTAGTGATAGTTATACAGTTTAAGGTAGCTCTCACCACTTAGTACCCTTCTCAATAGAGAATTTTGAAATCTAATTAGAAATGAGCTGTAGTCACTGCCAGTACGTGAAACATTGCTGCATCAAAAGATAAATAGAAATTTGAGAACTTAAAAAAGTGCAAATGTATCAAATGGCTCATTAAACAATGAGTTTTCAAATTTTTATATGCATAACTTGGTGCTGACTTAGATTTAGAAACCTGCAATTAACATAAAAAGACCTAGATTTTATGAGTTTGTGCAGTGCAAAACTCTTTGGAGTTTTAGAAGCTTAAATTTCTCAGAGAAGGAGTCACAAAAATATTTTAGGATATCATCACAATATTGAGAAGAGAAACATTATAAATTTGACTCAATATTTCGATATTTGGCGGAATATGTGTTGCATGAAATTGAAGAAATATTGTGTAGAATTTGCTATAACCAAAATATTTCCTATTCATGACTCAAAGGTTCAGATGGCCGAGATAAAATACACCAAAGATAATGTGCAAAAGAGATCTGAATATACCTTCTCTCAAGAATCATGCACATAAGTGGGATTCTTTAAGGGCACAGAAAAATCTAGATTTTAATAAGATACTTCCTCAAGAATGGTGCCAAGACAGAAATGTGGGTTCTCAAAAATTGTGCTTATAGGAAATCCCAGATTCAGTTGAACTATGATCTCTCATCCTCTGTTTCTATGCTCAGTCCAAAAGGTCCTCTTAAAGGATTGGAAACCTCAATATACATTCTAGGGTAGGGTTTTCTCATGCATGCAAGAATATTATTATGAGGTAAATTTATTTGTAAAGGGCTCCTTGGGCTTCTATTGTTGAGAGTTTAGTTTACCAAATATTTGGAAGATCTAGTGAGCGTCCTTTATTGTACACATTTTTTTCATGGCATTTTTATAGTAATCAGGTCATCTCTCCTCTTCTGCAGACATATAGTCTAACCCCCTAAAATTTCATCACAAAGTGCACAATCCATTCTGTGTTACATTGTATTGCATTGTCTTTCGCTCCTAAAGATGCTTCCATATTGATTTAGACATTATTCTCTAACATCTCAATATTCAAAAAGCTTCTCGTTTATCCCACTTGTCCTGTGATGCCTATAAATCTTAGTTCAAATCTAGCCTACAGAGTGGCAACCTACCTATCTTCTTAGCTCAACCTGGCCCACCTGTAAATGCAACTATCCTATAATTACTAGGCATCCATATTTGTCTAGTATAGTTTGACCAAGTCATCGTAAGAGATTAAATAGAGATAAGTTGCAGCTTATATACCAACTTGAGATTCAATCAACCTAAAGTTGCCTAAATCCGTAAAACGCCCAAAGCTAGACTGGGACAAGCCGCTAGGAAACAAGCCTTACAAGGCACTCAATACTTGGTCATTGAACTCGCCCAAGGACTCGCTGAGTGTCCTACACAAAAAGCCTAGCTGCTCGAAGAACTTGCTACTCATCCAAAGTACTCATTAGATGAGTAAATGTTTTCACTAGAAGAACACATCAAGGAAAATCATCCTCAATTTAAAACACACTCAAAATTCTTGCTTGCTAGAAATTAGAAAGCAAACTATTACGAATGCGCCTACTTAAGAGCAAATTTATCTTTTGTACGCCTAAAAGCAATTTAGTCTTTTATTATTATTGTTGTCGGGTTAGTTTTATGCATGAGATTGAGTTTTTATTATTTTTTTTGTTGGGTATAAATAGGCTTGTTATGTTAAGGGTTTGCTTTATGCATGAGATTGAGTTGTGAGTCTTAAGTCTAGGGATTGGGAGAGATTTCCTACCTCTCGAATAGGAATTGGGAGACATTGCCTACCTCTCGAATTATAGGTGTTTATCTTTGTATTTGTGTGAATTGTTTGGATTATTGCAATAAGAATTTCTTTTTGCCCTAATTTCTACAAAATCTGTGTGAATTTCTACGTTGAATCGTATCAAATTGGTATCAGAGCTCAAGTTTCTGGAATCGGATCGAAAGAAGAGATGACCTAATTAACTTCACAGAAACTGAAGCAAATTGAGGCTTACACTGAAGCAGCCACAATCATAGCTTGCTAGGAAAGCGATGACGGGACCAAAACTACGATACAATTGGACGGAAGTTGATGTGAATTTGCGTTTTGGCGCGTCAGTTGATGTGAATCTGATACATGAGTACACACCTTGCTTCTCGTCTTATGAACCCTATGAGACGGAAGGATAGAGTGCACCTTATTCTCCTTCTAATACCTAGGTTTTATAGATTGAGCAAGAGCTGGTGAAACGGAAGCGATGGTCCCTTCCCGTTTTTTATGAGGGATCTTCGATCAACCTTGTTGATGTTATTTATGCAGAGGATTCGAGGTAGCTTCACCCCCAGAGGTGATGCAGCATAAATTACTTAGGTCTCATGAGTTCAGAATTCAAAGATTGATTGAATCTCATCAGTATGGACTTGGGCATTTTCGGTCTTCATTCGGATATGGGACTGAAAGATAAAATTTTGCTCAACAATCTTCTCCAAGTCCCACAAAACTGATGCAAGACATTATAAACTCACAGAGATTGTTGGAAACTAACGGGAAGACTAAGATAGGTGTTAAAGTTTTGATTCTAGACAGCTCGGAGGAGGATAGCGGGCTAAAGAATAAAAGTGTTGCCAACTCTGAATGCAATATATGCTTCGATATGGCGAAAGAACCAGTTGTTACTTCTTGTGGTCATCACTTATGTTGGTCATGCTTGTATCAATAGCTTCACATTCATTTTGATAAACAAAGAACGCCCTCTATGTAAGGGCGAAGTGACTGAAGCAAGCATCGGTCCTATTTATGACAGAAAAAGTTGTAGGCCCTCCTTCTGAGTTTCTTACTATAGCAGGTCCTCCACTAGAATTTCATCTGCAGCATGTCCTCCTCCGAAACTTTCCCTGCAACAGGCTTTCTTCAGGAGTTTTTCTGCAGTAGATCCTCCACCGAAATTCTTCCTGTAGCAGGCCCTCGTCCAGAGTTTTTTCCTGCAACAAGCTCTCCTCCGAAGCATTTTCTTGTATCAGGCTCTCCTCCGAAATATTTCCCGCAGCACTCTCCTCCAAAACTTTTTCTACAGAAAGGCCTACCTCCAAACCTTTTCTATTTTCTACAGGTTGTTTACTTCGCTGCAAACTCCCCAGCAACATTACCTGTAGGAGTCTTCTGCCCACCTACAAGCACTACAAGAACTGCAGTCAACGAACAACCGCAGTCAACCAGAAGTCAGCATTTTCCTACAAGTTATCTATTTTCCTGCAAACTTCCCTGCACTCTTTTGCCTACCTGCAGACACTGCAGGAATAGCTTTCAAAGACAAGCACGGTTGTCTACTTCCCTGCAAATTCCTCTACAGCCTTCAGCCTACGGCCTACCAACGGGCACTGCAGAAACTGCAGTCAAAGACGACAGTAGTACGAGATAAAGATTTCAAGTTCTCCATATGATCCCCCTTGCTAATTGTTTGATGTTTTCAGATCCAGTTGAACATGACTTTCAACCAAGTTTCCATTTGAGATAAAGTATTAGAAGTTATATTTAAAAATAACTTAGGCTTAGTTTGGGACGTGGTTGGACAACTTTGCGGCACCCCACCGCTCAGATCTACTGTTTGGGGGCGCGGCAGATCAACTTTGCGGTCACCGCAGGGAGGACTTTCGCAAAAAGCGGGCCGCGGGATTGACCCTGCGGCCCGCATTCGACGACTCCATTTTGACCCAGTTGCCCCTTTGTTCGCGTTGTTTGTTCGTTTGTTTGTCTTCTCTCCGTTCATTCCTCTTCTCTGGCAGTTCGGCAGTTTGTCGTCTCACTCCCCTGATTCGCAGTACATCCTCGCTGCCCGATCGCATAGCTCGCACCCCTTCATCTCTCGGCCTCGATCACCTCTGTCGATCTCTCGATTGTGTCGATTTGGCTGGATGGGAAAAGCAGGTAGAGGAGAAACTTAAGGAAGCAATTCTTAACGAATGACAGCTTCCCCGCAGCAGCTTTTTGGGGCAGCGTAGCTGCAGCTGAAAAACTGAGAAGCTGCAGCTGCGCCAAACCGAGTCTTATTCCTGTGAGAAATTATGATAAATAAATTATTTTTTCATATTATGATTTATTTCATTTCCTATTTTATATTTATTTACATAGAGTATGAGTTATTTCCTTTCCTTTTTTATATTTATTTCTTTGGACTATGCGTTATTTCCTTTCCTATTTAAGGCTTTTTTATTTATGATATTTCATTTATCTCCAATTATTTCATTTATCTCCATAAAAAACTTCGTCCTCACTAAAACAAATTTTTGGCTCCACCCCTCTGTCCACTTTACTCACCTAGAACAGTTAGGCGTTAGGCGCATGTAAAATACAAGAAACCAAAAAGACAAACAACCCATATTGCAAGGTAGACCATATCCATCACGCGCCAGGAAAGCAGAAACAAAACGTGAAAAGCAAAAAATAAAATAAATAAAGTTAAAATCTGCTAATAATATCAAAGCGTATGAAAAACATATTATGGCCCACCGAAGATCGCCATTTTTTCACAACGTAGAGCGAATTTAACCTAAATTCATGCGCACGGCCTTCAGCCTCAACAAGTGGAAAAATTATTGTGTACTTTCACAGAATAATCGCTCAAGGATGGGCTACGTAAGCATCACCTTTCCGTTCTTCGCAACATAGCAGATGCTGGACAAAAAGTCTAAAGGGAAAAATGGAGAATCCAACGCATGCTAGCAATTATTGTGTAGGTAACATCCCAGTTAAAAACTCTTTTACAGCAGTAAAAGCATCGAAAAAGAACAAAAATGAAGTAATTAGACAAACCTATTTCTTCTCTACAACTGCGCTGACCAAAATGGGAAGAAAAAGAACAAAAGAAAACTTATTTTATAATTCCATGTTACTAATTGATCATAGATTCAGCTCGTCAAAAGAAAGGTGAAAATGAAACATAAATTTACATCAACTTCCAAAAAAAAAAAACAGCAGAATACACCAGAGGAGAACCAAACCTCGGTTTCCTGGTATCTAGCCTCCCAAAACCTCCATAACTAACTCGACCGCTTCCGGACGACTTCATCTCCGCAATCTTGCCATAGTAATGAACTGCGGGAGCCTGATTCAAGGTAACAATGTAAACAGCCGCATCATCCTGGCAAAACCCTCCCCTTATCATAAACCCCAGCAACCCAAACAACAGCAGGAGCAGTCCATTTGTCATCTCCATTTTATCCCGAATTCCAACCCTACGGAACCAAATACAACACACCACAAACACTTATCCCATCAAACTCAGACCGAAAGAGTGAAAAAGCCGCCAGACCATTCAGTAAAGTTCCCAAATGATACAAATCCACCAAGCAAAACCAGCTATCAGACCAGGACTGGAAGGAAAGCATTGGAGACAGCACTCATCAGTAGAATGCAGTGGGTTGATGAAATAGATGTGTGTTTTTCACTTCTCAAAAGTGCAAAAGTGAAAACGGCGAGCTCTCTTTGTATAAAGTCCGCTTGCAGGAAGATAATAAGAGCAAGCAGCTCAGCGCACCGCCAGAAAGGGAAGAAATAAAAAAGAAAAGTTAGAGAGAAAGAGAGAAGGAAGTGTTGCAGAACTCAGCCGGAGAGAACGCTGAAAACCTCAGATTACGAATTTCCGTCGTCTTAAAATAAGGGAAGAGTAGGTATTATTAAATTCTCGTATACCAAATTTTTAAATTAATTTATTTAATATTTTGATTAGGGCTGTCAAAAAAAATTGATTATCCGTGAACAATTTGTGTTTTGTTTGTTAATGAGTTCGGATTCGTTCGATAAGTAAACGAGACGAACGTTAAAAAAAAATCGATTCGTTCAATAAGTAAACGAGACGAACGTTAAAAAAAAATTTTCGTTCGGTTAGTTAAACGAATCAAACACGAACAGTTATGTGTTCGTTCTTGTTCGAATCGTTATTGTTCGAAATATAAAATAATTTAAAATAATTATATTTAAAAATTTATTATTTTTTAAAAATTAAATTATATATATATATATATATATATATAATTTATAATATTTTAAAAAATTAAAATTTATAAATTATAATATGTAATAAATTAATGGTAATAATATATTAATATACTATATTAATAATATACTAATATAGATATTATATATTTATATATAATAAGTATATTATAAGTTTTATGATTAATATAATATATTATTTATATATATTAATATTAGCGATGTCAAACTAGCTCGTCGTTCGCGAACAGCTCGTGTTCGTCTCGTTCATTAAGAAACGAACATGAACAGTGACTTCACGAACAATTTCGAACACGAGCTTATTTCAAACAAATTAAACTTCAAACGAACCAAACACGAACACAAGCTTTGTTCGTTCATGTTCGGTTCGTTTACATCCCTAATTTTAATTTTTTTAATAACATTAAAATATAGAAAAGTTTGCATAAATATCACCCAAATTATTATATATTTATGTTTCGAACAACTAAACATTAAATTTTATATAAATAGCACCTTATTGATTAATTTTTACATACATATTACGTTATATAAGAGTGAAATGTGTATTACACTAATAATGGTGATTATTTTAATATGATATGGAGGATTTGGTTGATATAAAGGTAAGAAAGCAAAGTTAAGGTGTTAAATCTTTAAATACATAAAAATTTGGTGTTATGTTCGTAAATGCTACAAAAATATGTACGTATTTTTTTTTTATTTTGAAAATAATATTAATAATATTTTTAATACTGTTTAAGAGTTAAAGAATTAAAAAATAAATATAATTATTCAATTTTATGTGTGTAGATCTTCCTAATAGAAACTATTAACTAAAACAAAAAGAATTTTTAATTAAAAATTAAGAAAATGTTTTGTGTAAATTATAAGACATTTAAATCTTGTCTTATGAATAAAAGAAGTCACAAATATCATATTGTATTTCAATTTATAAATCTTATGATTCTAGGCTGAACAAGAAAAGACTGTCGGAAACTCAGATTAGTCCTTAAATCACACTCAAGAAATAGATTGTCGTAAACTAGGCTAAACAGGAAAAGAAGAGAGAGATGGATGGAGGGAGGGAGGCGCGGCTAAGTAAATGCTACGGATGTGCATAATAATGGGAACTATAGGGGTTCTTCCTTGGCTCTATTAGATAAAGAATCTCGAGCATTAGCTCATAGTTTATATTTAATACCTCCTATGTTAAAGAGGCTGATTTTATAAAATGATTCATTTAAACTCGCATAATATATGTTCTCTTGTTGGTCATATCTCCACTGAGATTGAGATTTTGGAGAGATCTTCTTCCATCTGATTACTTTAGTGAATATGAAGGCTCTTTGCTTTGGTAATTATTGTACCCTGGCCCCACAATTAGGCCTTTTGTACTCTTGTCTTTTGAACTTGGGTCATGAGCATTAATTTAGTTGGCTCTTATATGATCGTCTAATGCTCTAAGCTGATCTTCTCCTCAACTACCTCCAGACTTTACTATTCTGGTGGCTCGTACTACAAGGAAGACTGAGAATCATTCATTCTTTGTTGACCTGAATAGACACTTTTAGTGTAAATATGTAGTTCCCTGATTATCTCGTACCCTGATAATAATAATTTATCTTGACTTTTAATTAATTGTCATAATTTGAGTGCTCTATTGATTTTTATATCATTGGCTCTTATAAATAGAGTGATGGGATATCTCTTAAACTCATGTTCTTCAATATCCACTTATAACTTCCAAAATCTCGTCGCTTTTTGCTTACATATTTAACTATGATGGATCTTACTTGATCTTATAAAAACATCTCAAACAAACATCTACTTCTCAGTATGTTCCACAAGAAGAAGTGCAAAAAAGGAGAGAAGGTACAAAAGATGGCAGAGAGTAGAAGAGGGGCAACACATCTTGTCAAAAGAACTCATACATGTTGACTCAAATAGATATCCTTGTAGTGATAGTAGCTTTAGGGGAAAAACCACTGATGGTTGATTCAACTGAGGGCCCGCCACCATAAAAGATTGGTTCGGCTTCCTTTGGCTCATTTAATTATGAGCGAACGAGTAAAGGAATGGATCCCTATAAATTTAGAAATGTCTGCTCAATTCAAGCCAACAAATATATCAAAACTTTTATTGATTTGTTCATGTTATATTAGATTATATTTTAATTTAACTTCCTTGTTTTGATTATAGAGTGTTATCGGCACTATTTTGGTTAGTCCCCAGCGGAGTCGCCAGAAGCTGTCACTCTATTTTTGGTTGGAGAGTTGCCCGTAAGAAGCTGTCGGTTACTCGAATTGAAATTCCGTCACCCGCTTCAGAAGGACATTTTAATTTATATATATTTTTAGTTTTAAATAAGTATGAAATCAAACCGACCCTATATTTTTCATGGTTTAAATGAAAGAGCATTACACTGTATCTATCCTGAAAGATAAACACAAGATTTGAGGATGAGGCTCGATCAAATAAACTAAGAAATATATGACATTTGTTTGGTTTACGAAACCATTTTATTTGTCGACAAGTTCCCCTATTTAATACGAAAAATTAAATAGGGTTTATATTAAGCTCGGTTCGGAAATGCTTCATATAAAAGCAAGTCCTTATAGTTAATTACATCCTAGATAACTGAAGTTACCTAAGAAAAATCTCGATAAAAATCAGAGAATATTATCTTCAAAGAGTTCAAAGGATTAAGACTTTTCAACGAGATCGGATAGAGATCTGCGAAAGGGTAATGATTCAAGTTTGGAACATTTTATTTTGGAATCCAAATGAGAAAATATTATGGGATGTCATAGATATGGAGGTGATCCTCGATGACTTCCCAAGTTATCCTATTGTTTGGCTTCAATTTTGGAGATTAGAATTATTGAATATTTCTTATTGCTAATTTTATTATTTAAGGCTTACATTCATGTGAAACGATCACACAAATAGTCTGAAAGATGTGAGGATTTAGGTCGTAACAGATGACAACCTCGGAATCCTAAGACGAGTTTGGGCTTATATTGTATAGCAAAGCTATACAAAGGCTTAAAGATAAATTAAGGATTTATGTTGCATAAGCAAACAACCTCAAAATCCTATGGATTATTATTTAATTCTAAGGAAAGATATGTTGTCGTAGATTCTTTTGCTACTGAAGATGATCGTGCTGCTCATAATGCTAGCTCCAAGCTCCTTGTCGTGACGAGTTTAAGTTTTCTAATGTGTTAAGTCATAATGTCAAATCAAATGTACCTATGGTTATGGTCATTTAAATATTATGGGGCAAATTAAAGTTGATTAGAGCGACACCAGTTAGGATCCTACGGTTCCCTCGTTTCGGTACCACTATTTTCTATCGAATTCACTTAGTCCAAATGAATTTACTAAACTCAACTTAATGAGTTCCATATTTTCATTTCGACCGTGGGAAATCTCATTAGCAACCGTAGGTTACCTCCTCCGAGAGATTCCTGATTATCCGATAGACACGTCTTAATTTAGTTGCAATTGTTGTTTTGTGAAGTTTGTGATTAAATTTTGAGTTGTTTTATATTTTGAATGTTGTGGTGGTGAATTTTATCTTGATCAATTTTAATTTTGGTTTTGGTTTCAGTTTTGTGGTTATCCTAGTAGTCTTGGTTTTCATGCAGGGTGACATTGTTGCTTAGCATGCAAGTTCGTAAGCATAAAAGTACAGTGTAGAAAGTATGATAAAAGGAAGCATTGTAAACTGTAAAAGTATACATGGCGAGTTTTCTCATTCCTCCGCCTGAAAAGTCAGTACTTGCAAAGCACATATATGTATATATAATTTTGCAGGAATTAAAACATGCTTATAAGGAAAGTAGAAAATACAAGTTTGAGTTGTGTCTACCAGATCCTATGTCATATATTGGTGGTTCCAAATTTTGAGGATGACTTCATTAAGCAAATCATAATAAGTCCAGATGTCCTTCAAAATTTCCAAAGGATTATGAAGAAGTCTCGGGTAATACCCTAGACAATTTCATAGTCCCTAGAATTGCCTTGAGTTCGTTTTAGTCTTATTGTATTTGTTATATAGTTCATCCAATTAATACCCTTATGCTTAGTGAATCATGATGTTTTGATTATCCCTTAAGTGGGGTAACCATCACTTGATATCTCACTTAGGGATTATATAGGTAAAGACATTTTGGGAGCAACTTGACTTAATCAAGGAATTTAATTAATTTGATTTTTGAAAATAGGCTTGTAATGTTTTGAAAGATTTTAAATTAATTATAAGTTATTTTCTAAAACCTTATTAGACAAAATTTTGATTAAGCATAGTTCACTACTATTGCAAAAAATGATTTTTTTATATTTATATTCTTAATCCTTATCATGAATTATAAATCATCTCAAAACCATTAGTTGGGGGTTAAAATCAGTGAGTTATGATCTTCTAAAAATCAAATCCCTCACCTTATTATCTTCCTATTTAATTATTCTTTGAAATTTCATTAATTTGGAAAATTATAAATTTATTCTTTATGAAATCAAAGTGATGTTTGTTTCTACCACTTATCCCTTTTATGTTTCAATCATCAAGAAATGTTTTTTTTTTTAAATCACTTATCACCCATTTACCCTCTTGATTAGGCCTAAATATTAATTA